TTCCCTCTCTCCACAACCAGTCATTTTGACTCTCAGATGTCACTTGCAGGTTGCAATCAGACCTCTCTCAACTATGGAGTCCTACATATACACATTAAATATAACGTTGAGGGGCTTGAGGCAAACAAGCATGCATACCTGCTAATTCCATGTAAGAATTTCTGCTGAACTCATTAGAATTGCAAATTTCACCAGTTTCTCTAGAATTGAACGATAACTAACATTAACTTCAATGATTAACAGAATTGTGATTTTAGTCCCACCTTTTGATTTGTCGTTTTTGAGCCTTTTTTCCGCTCCAATAAAATCGTGGGTAAAATACATTTGTACTCCTTGAAGTATTAGCTCAATCTCACTTTGGTCCCCCTACTAATTGTGATACTGTCATTTGGTGATGGTTTTCACAAAAATCTAGTTCCATTAAATCATTTTGATGAAAGTAATCAAAAAGACCATTTAAACATTGAAAACTTTAAGAACCAGTGTCACGGTTAAAAGTTGAAGAACCACTGAGTGCATAACTCCAGGATCACTTGTGTATTTTAACCTAAATTCTTTTTGAGCCAAATTTTGAAGTCCTCAAAATCAATCCATTCCTTTTGGAGGATTACATATCTATGCAAAAACCATGGTTTTTATATCCTGTGGTTATTTTAGGCCTTCAGATTTGGTAAATCTTGTCTGTCAGCTTACATCAATATAATCCTTCTGAAGGGACGATTAAGTTATTTGCCAATGCGGTTCACACTGAGCTCCTAGTTCAGATGCATAATTGATACCTTTGCACACAACTCAAATCAACTCTACTCAACTCAACAAAACCTTGTCCCATCATTTTATGAATTGCGTTTATTTACTTTAGCTGATAGGCAATCATTACTGTCGCTTGAGATGCCACATAGGCTGGCTTATGAATAATGCTGTGCTTGGCGAGATGTAGTTCTTCATCTCTGACAGATATCCATCTGGCGTTTCAACAACCCTGTGTAAATCTTCTCTTCCATCGCGGCATCATTGGTCCAAACAAGCCTGCATCCTCACTTACTTTCTTTGGTAGTTACTGTTAAGACACTTCTGATAGACACATGGTTTTTTGTCTTTGTCTCAGATGGACTGTTTGCATTCTCAAGAGTCCAGAATTCCTATCTGGAGTGGTCTGCACTTTACAACACATTCTTTGATCTTGGCACACCTACTTTCGCAGAAGATTTTTCACTTCCACTCATTCTTCAATTTTGGAACCAATTATTGTTGCTAATATCAGTCTAAGTTGGTTTTCAGCCTTCTCTCACTGTTCATCTGCCTCTCATCTGGGTTTACTTTTTGGCTGTATCTATTGGCTTCAGAATCTATGGATTAGATTTGGTTGCTTTTGCGTAAGTAAATTCCTGATGTTGAATGTTTGATTGAGTTGTGCACATCACTGCCTGTTCATTGTGTTTACCATGAACATGAAACTTTTTTTTATCACAACTTTTCAGTTTTTCTTGATTATCGTCCCCACTGCATTTCATTTTTCAGGCGTATCTTGGAGGCTAGTGCACACGATGTTCATGTTGGGCGCCCGTACATGTATACTTCAGCATCGTTATTGATGGATAATGCATGCTTTGGTGAGGATTGAGAAGCCTACAAAGGTTTGTAAGTATGAGAGTAAATTGTATCTACAAGTGAATTCTTCCTCTTCCTCCTCTCATTTGGTAAAAGAAAAAAAGAAGGGCAATGCTAGCACTGTCTTCATGGCTATGTTGCAATGTACTGCTGCAGGGATAGTCCTCAAAGAAAATGCATTAGAGAGGGGTTCTTTTCTAAAATCAATAAAGAAGGAAATTATAGTTTCAACCTTCAATTATGCCTCTGTTCCCTCAAACATTCATGTTTTTCACGTTACACCTCCACCTAAGTATAAGTTTCAAATTTATCCAAATTTTATCATTCGGTCTTCTGAATTACGTAATTTTATATTAACTGACCTTAAAATATAATGATATTAGAGGTAATATGTCTCTGAAGACACAGTGTAACGTAAATCAACAAGTTGCAATCCCAGATAAAGAGAGTGAAGAGTGAGGAGAGGAAGGTAAAATTCAATGTGAATGATTTTAAGAGGGATGCTGGTGATCGTTAGATGAGTCTATTTGAGATCGTCGGATGAATTTATTGAAGCTTGTCCTATTTTATATTATAGATTATATAGTTTACAAATACAAATTGTAGTTTGTCATTTGTAAAGACATTGACAATTACGCAAAAGTAATTGAATTGGGACTAAATTTGAATACTTGATGCCTTTTAATTCTTAGATTAATAGTGAGTTCTAATACTAAATGAATTCGAATTAATACTATCAAGCGGTTGGTTTATTTGGTAAGGACTCAATTTTTTTTGTTCCTTGTTTAGGTTTGAGTTTTCGCAATTATGGTAATTCGGTGGAGTTTAATTCACTCTTTAAAGTCCAGAGCACGCAATGAGATCTTAACTTCGACCTCGATGTAAGTGCGATAAAATTTCATGTAGATAATTGTCTAGTGTCAAGGGACATTGTTCCTGACGAATATATGGAGTATCCTATCTATATACAAAAATTACCAAATACAAGTTTTGTTATTATTGTTTGGAAAAATATTACATAATTCAAATAAAATTCAAAAATTAAAATCTAAATACATATTATCTTTTAAATAAGTGTGGGATTAGTGAGTTACATTGAAAAAATTGATGAGACTTATTTATCTAAAAAATAATATTCATTTAAATTATAATTTTTTGTATTTTATTTAAATTTTGTACCATTGCTTTTAGGGAAAATTTCATCAACACTCCCTCTAAATAGGTCTATCTTCAACGACAATCATTGTCTTTTCTGAAATTTCACTGACCTCCCTTATCAGTGTTGGTTGGCTAATAGACATGACAAAAATAGACGTTTTACCATTTTACCCATAAATTTTGTAAAGAATTACATATTCACCAATTATTTTTCACTAAATTATATATAAATATATATTCCTATTTCCAAGTGTTATGTGCAGTACCATTAAACTAAATATAAATATTATATAGTTTAAGTGTACGGTGTCATTGATTTTTTTTAAAATTTTTTTTAAAAAATGATTTTGAATTATTTTTCTCTTGTATTATTTTTAAACGTACGATGTCACCAATTTTTTTAAAAGAAAAATTCTAAAAAAATTATTTTGAATTTTTTTCCTTATATTATGTTTAAGCATATGGTGCTACCGTTTTTTTTTTAAAAATTATTTTGAATTTTTTTCTTATATTATGTTTAAGCGTATGGTGTCACCGTTTTTTGAAAAAAAATTATTTTGAATTTTTTCCTTATATTATGTTTAAGCGTATAATGTCACAAATTTTGTTTTAAAAAAATTTTCTAAAAAAATTATTTTAAATTTTTTCTTTGTATTATGTTTAAGTGTACAGTATTACTGATTTTTTTTTTAAAAAAAAATTAAATCTTTTCCTTGTATTATGTTTAAGCGTACGGTGTTACCATTTTTTTTAAAAAAAAATTATTTTGAATTTTTTTTCTTATATTATGTTTAAGCGAACGATGTCACTGGTTTTTTTTTTTTTTTTAAAAAAATTCTAAAAATATTATTTTAAATTTTTTTTTGTATTATATTTAAGTGTACGGTGTTACCCGTTTTTTTTTTTTTTTAAAAAAAAAAATTATTTTGAATTTTTTCTTTGTATTATGTTTAAGCGTACTATGTTACCAATTTTTTTTAATTTTTTTTTTAAAATTATTTTGAAAATTTTGTTTCGATTATGTTTAAGTGTACAGTGTCGCCGATTTTTTTTTTTTTATTACGATGTCACCGATTCATAACACTAAATTTTTTCAATTCATATTATTCATCCCTGATTTATGCTAGGATCAGTGGCTTGAATTCATTGCCACGTTTTTACAATTAGGTGATTGAGTTGTTGAGGCATGAGAGAGAGAGAGAGAGAGAGAGAGAGAGAGAGAGAGAGAGAGAGAGAGGGACAAGGCTCCAAGGGTTTCATGTGAAATAAGTAGAGTAAAATTGATATTTCATAAAAAATTTAGTATTCGACGTCAACATTTTTCTGATTGTTAGTAACGGCTGGCTATGGGAAGGGTTGTCTTTGATTTAACGGTGTAAATCAGAAGGAGTGCACTGAAGATTCGGAATGAGGAGTGGGTGTTAATGAAATTTTTCCTCGCTTTTGTTGTTTATGCAATCAAACTTGACTTTTTAATGGAACGTTAATTTGACTTTGCTTTTTCAACGTAATCACTGACCTCAGCATTCCATCTGCCAAGACAATATTGCCCCTCTGAGACCTCTTGTTTGCTACCTCATTCCAGGCAATCAAGGATTCTTTTGACATTTCACTTCCCAATAATTACACTGTCATCCCACCCATCACAAAAGGTTCATTGTCCGAAATTTTAATATTCCAAACAACTGTACCTCCCCATAATCCTCATGTACACTTCCTCTAAAAAAATGGATTGATTTAATCCATTTTTTTATTCAATAAAAATATGATAAGTGCCAATTTTTATATATTATATTATTTTTTTAATCAGCTATAAATCAAATAAAGCAAAATCTATCATTATAATTTAATTTCATTATGAAAATATTTCATTTTTAACCACGCGAACTGATGATCTAGTAGTAAATCGTACATGTTTAGTGTCGTCTTTAACTCTCATATGATTATTAAATATAGTTTAATTCAGAGGAATAACTTGATATTTTATTTGATTTTGGTGGTACCGTAGCGACGGACTATCCTTTTAAATTAATAATTATAATTTAAATTAGACATCTTTGTCACGATGACTCGACGAGAGGTTACTTTCTATTGGTCATTCATCCCTTTTTAATGGCAAAAAAAAAAACCATAGCTCTATCCTTATAAATATAAGATACTGTCATAAAACCTTCACACTAAAAAAAAAAGCCCCTCTTTTTCATCATACTGTTGCTCACTAAATCTCCACTATGGCAGGGGAAACCACCAAGGACCACCCATCCGCTTCCCTTTCACTCGCCGGCAAGGTGGCGATAGTCACCGGCGGTTCCCGGGGAATCGGCCGTGCTATTGCCGTCCACCTCAGGTCACTTGGTGCAAGAATTGTGATCAATTATGCTTCCAACTCCACCCAAGCTGATCTCTTAGCATCGGAGCTCAACTCCTCCGGCGAGGCCTCTTCTCATCCCGTAGCAATCGCCATTCAAGCTAATGTCTCCGACCCAGATCACGTCAAGTCCCTATTCGATCGAGCCGAGGAAGAATTTAAATCCCAAGTTCATATCCTCGTGAATTGTGCCGGAGTTCTCGATCCCAAATACCCATCAATAGCCAACACCGCCGTTGAAGATTGGGACAGTACCTTCTCCGTCAACACCAGAGGAGCGTTCCTGTGCTGCAGAGAGGCGGCGAATCGGGTGGCGCACGGCGGCGGAGGAAGGATTATTCTGATAACAACATCGGTTGTTGGGTCATTGTTACCTGGGTATGGGGCTTACGCAGCCTCGAAAGCGGCGGTGGAGACGATGGTGAAGATTGTAGCAAAAGAGTTGAAGGGTACTGGGATTACGGCGAATTGTGTTGCTCCGGGGCCGGTGGCGACGGAGCTGTTCTTCGCCGGCAAGACGGAGGAGATGGTTAAGAGGTTGGTGGAGGCTTGTCCTCTGGGGAGATTGGGGGAGCCGGAGGATATTGCTCAGGTCGTTGGATTTTTGGCTAGTGATGCTGGTGAGTGGGTCAATGGGCAGATCATTCGTGTCAATGGTGGATTTGTTGTTTAGATCGTTCTTCTCTGTGTTGCTTTAAAGTGTTCTTACATGAATGCAATGATATCAACACTAATGCACCAAATCCTAAACTTCGTTTTTAGTACTAGAACGAGTGTTGACCCTTTTCTGTTTGTCATTATATTTGATTTTTATTTTTTTATTTGTGTTATTTTAGTTTCTTAAAATTTTAAGGATTAATTGTATTGAGGTTCCTAATGTATAAATTTGTTATATTTTGGTTCCTAATATTTAATTATGTCCTTTTAATCCACGAAATATTGGATATAATATACTTCTATGCGATCCTTCAAATAGATATTGCTCAAATTGCTAATAATTTTTTGTTATAAACTTGCTACGTAATACTTAAATTTAGACGAAAAAATAATTTGAATAAACTCTTGATTAAATTTTTATCAAAGAATTATCCAAATTACATAATTTTGATCACGAATTATCCAAATTTTAATCAACAACTAATCATATTATACATTTTTTTGTCAAGAATTATATAAATTTTGGTCAAGAACTTTCCAAATTATTTTTTATCCATATTTAGTATCACGTAACAAGTTTATGATAAAAAAATATTAGTAATTTAGATATTGTCTGCTTGAGAGACCATATAAAAACATATTCACTACTTCAGGAATTAAAATGATAGAATTAAAATATTGGAGACAAAAATAAGACATTTTATATTTTGAGAACCTCTAATTAATTCAAATTTTAATTTGTGTAAGTTTCGTTTAATCCAAAATAGTAATTAAGTTTGACTAACGAAGATGTCTCACTTGGCCACACTTAAGAGATCATTTTGATCCTTTTAATTTGCAATGTATTTACCGGCGTTCCTTCTAGTTTGGTGGTTGTGAACCTAAATTTTTTTAGTGTATTTCGTTTTGGTTCTTTAAGTTTCTATTTGTCCCCGTGACATTTTCAAAAAATACGTCTTTAAGTGTGACACTGACCACTTTGCATATCAATATAGGTGCACAATTCGAATCCTATCTCTTTCTGAACTCAAAACCATCGCCCAATCGTAATACATTTGTCTTTTCTTTTGTTACCTATAAGTCCAAAGCTTCATCCACACACCCAAACCCCATGAGTATCACCTCCACCACAACAATACAAACACAAAATCTCGATTTTCCACCAATTTTCAAAGGCTAATGTCAAGATTCAAGAAAGTAAACCGGAGAATTGGAAAGTCCACGGGAGTTTTCCTATAATGAATAGAGGTAGCGATCCTCTTGATCATGAATCTAAAATAACTAAAAGGTTAAAAAAGGGGCTGGGTTAACACCTGACTTATCTTCTCCGAAACTTAAGTCAGTAGAAGTTTGGAGGTTTTTGTACGGTATATCTCTTTCTCAGTTTTGTTTTGCATACCTTTGTTCATATTTTTGAGGAGTATTTATACCTAGATTAATAATAAGTACAAGGGTTTGGAGTCTCATCTCAACATTTAATAATTTGCACTCTTATCCATGCGTAATGAGTGTTCTCCACTCAGATTCTCGTGACTAGTTCACTTGGGCGATAGGATGACTGCTCAGGGCATGCCGAGCATTTATAACCTTATCCCTGGTCATTCAAGTCCATTTGATCGACGTCTGACACCTACTCCCGAGGACATATGGTTGGCTAACGACCATTAATGCTCTGTAATTATGACTGTTGGTTTAGGTCTTAAGGATGCAGAGGCTCAATAATGGCCTTGTCACAGTCACTCAAGTCCTCATAAATAATCTATCACATCTTCTTAAATGTTGATGTCAGTCCGTGTACTCGGGTTCGCTGGGCCATTACTTTTCGGCGCCACTTCTGGGCGCCTTTTGAGTTATGTAACAACTATGGCAATCCACGTGTCAATTTAGGGGCTGCTGAGCCGCCTAAAGTCCCATACAAAAAAGAGAGTAATTAACTTCAAAGTCTAATATCCAATTCAATCTTAATTCTTCATTGATTCAAATCGTGGGGTTTGATTGATAAGAAATTCTAGGGTGATTGATTACCCATGGAGGTCTCAAAAAATCATGTTGTGCATCCATGTGGGTATCTATTTGTGGTTTTGTGATGTGTGTGTGTGTGCTAGGGTTTTTTAGGGATGAATGTGTTGGGTTGGGGTGTCGAAGACGCACGAGACAGAGAGAGAGAAGAACATTGTCTGCGTGTGTGAGAGAGAAACTAATGTTGAATTGACGTTTAATATATATATAAAGGATAATTGTGTTTGGACACATAAATTGTTGTAAAATACCAAAAATATCTCTTGTTACATGTGACATGCACACGGTATTTTTTGTGTCTTTTTTTTAATGGGCAATTAGTGCTAAAGACTATAGTAGCTCAATGTTTGAACTTTCGGACTGAAATTAACGAAATTAAAATTTTAACGATCAAAGTGCGGGGACATATAAACCCCAGGAACCATTAGTACAATTTATCCTAAAATTTAGTACAAAATTCTCATATAGGTTACTTAAAATTAAGTAATATGACAATAATAGCGTACAAAAATCCATACAATAAAGCATTACACAAAATACAACAAGAGACCAAAAAACTTTAATCCAACGAATAATCATATAACTTACATTCTAACAGTAGGAAATATAAGGGTCCGTTTGTTTTGCAAGATAATGCTAGAAAATGTAAGAAAGAAAAAATTTAAAAAAATTTCATGTGTTTGTTTAGCAAGAAATAAAAAATGATAGAAAAAATAATTTTCTTCCATGTTTAAATTTTCTCACATCTAACTAACTTTTTTTCTTACAAAAAAACACAAGAAAAAGGATGAAAGTTGTGTTCAATAATAAACTTCTCATTTTACCCTTATTTTTCTTAAAATTTTCAATTAGTTAATAATTAAAAAAAAAATTTGTACAAATTAGACTAACCACATAATTTGGTCTTGAGATTAGGGTTCGAGTCGATTCTTGTCTCTGAATTAAGTTAGGAATCAATTTTTTAAAAATTTGAATAATAAATTTTTTTTTCTTTAAACTAAAATTTGAATAATTTAGACAATTATGCTCCGTTTGGTATGATGAAAAAATAGAAAGATGAAAAGTTTGAATAATGAAAAGTTGGAGAGATAAATAAAACATCATGCTTAGTAATGAAGGAAAATATAAAGGATAAAAAAGGGGATGGATTAACTTTCCTTTCAACTCACCAAAATCAACCCCTTTAAAATCAAAAGGAAAGTGGATGGAAAGTTAATTATTTGTGTTGAGATATATCTTATTTATCTACTAGTAATTGCTAGTGCCTGAAGCCACAGAGTAACAAAAAAAAATTGTGATTAATTAAAAGGCATATCAAATCAAAATAATTGGTGTAACACATAAAACTAATTGTTCATCAATACTACTACCAACAATATATTACATATAGTTATGACTATATACGGGAATATCAAACCAAAATAATTGGTTTAACACATAATATCTCAGTAGTTAATATAAACTAACTTTAATTTTTTTAAAAAATTCGATAGACTTCTCCTTGAAAACATGATCTAATTGACAATATCAACTTGTGTGTACAACTCATAATCAAACTTTTCTGTAAATAAACACTACCTTAAATCAATAATTTTGTCACATTACGTTAATATTGCTATTACCATTGTTTATCAATTGCTGTAATTTAATAATCCAAAACATCTAATATAAAATGAATAAGATACAAATTATAAACTAAACTAACACTAAACTGAGGCTAATATCAATAATTAAATACATTCACTCATCTCGTAGAAGCCAAATAACCTGTAAAATTAATAAATTATGCCTCCTAGTTAGTTGTCATGCCTAAATATACTTTATAATACCAAAAAAAAATTATTAATTAAAATTCACTAATTATTAATTAAAATCATTAATTAATTGAGAAGATTGATTTTCAAATTTGGGAAGTTTGAAATCACCTCTATTTTATTAGTATAGATGAGATAGAGAGAGAAAGAGAGTTAAATAAGATATAGGAGTCTTAAAAATTTTTGGCACGAGGACCGTCGGATTAATAATCGTCGAGAGATCTGAGCTACAAAAAGCTAAAGATAAATAAATTTGGCTACTTTATTATATATACTAGTCATTACCCGTGCCTGAAGGCACTATACAACAAATAATTTTTTTAAAACAATTGTCTAAATTCAAAAGAAATGACCTAAAAATATTCATACAAATTCTTTTTTTTAAATGGCTCAAAATATATTGTCGATTATATCCTTCATATTAATGAAACTGTTATAAAAATATATAAAAAATCTCCAAAATAACGTCATATATACAAATACATATGAAAAAAAAATACTAACATAATCCATTAAAATTTACAATCTTTAAGTAATAAATTAAATAAATAAAATTTACTCATTTATAAGACTCACGAATTATCACTTCTACTACCACTTCATTCAATAACACAATATAATTATCAACTCAACTACCATATTTCTAATCCACTCTATCTCCATGTAATAAATACCTCAAGCAAAAAAAAAATTAACAGAATACAATTAAATTCACAATCTTTAAATGGTAAATAAAATCAACCAAATTTTGCTCATTTATAAACTCATGAATTTATCATCATTATCACCATTCCACCCCAAATTACATAATATAATTATAAATTTAATCACTAAATGTTCAATTATCCACAAGTAAATATACACAAAAAACACACACACATTTTTTTTTGTTACCAACAAACCCTTATAACCAATAATTGCTTTTATTAAAAATACAATAATTTGAGTTTTTAAGGTAAAATAATAATATATTAATGTTTAATTAAAAAATAGGGAAAAAAAACTAAAAATCATGGATATTCCCTGAGTTTTTGAAATATTACACGAACACCTCATGATATTTTATAAATAACACGAAAATCCCCTGAGGTTTGTTATTCATTGCACGAAGACCCCTTCTGTCTCCTTTTCGTCAATATTGCAAACGAAAATTGATAATTTTATCATAAAAAACTTTTTTATT